ATTGTTGAATTATAAGACTTCTTTGTACATTCTGATGTTAGATCCTTATCAGGTATGTGTTTTGCAAGTCTCCTCTCCCATTTTGCAAGTTGTCTCTTCATTTTCTTGATGCTGTCCTCTGATGCACAGAAGGTTACTGTCGTTGATGTCTAATTCATCCCTCTTTGGTTGCTTGTGCTTTTTGTATCATAGCATCATGTGCCTTCAGGATTTATCCATGTTGCTGGGTGAACATAATCGATGGCTTTTAACTGCTAGATGGTTTTCCACACTATATTTTCCAAATATTGCCTGTCCCCTCCCCCACAGACAGCCACACTACCTCCAACTCCACATTATCACCAGCTACCTGATATACCCTCATGTATGTACCTTCTAAAACAGTGTGAGAATTCATTGGAGGGAAACTGCTTGTTCAGATGAATTGCTTAACTTAACCAAATACTGTCAGATTGTCCTCCATAATTGCTGCAACCATCTACGCTCCCACCAACAGAACACTGAAGTGTCCTTATCTTTACATCCTCGCCATTACTTGGCATCATCCACCTTTCGAATTGGCTAGTCTGCAGTATGGAAAGCGTTGTCTCATTGGGGCTTAACTTACGTTTCTCTGTTTACCCATGAATTTGAGCATCTATTTAGGTGCTTATTTTGGGGTTTTCTTTTCTTCTTGTGAATTGCCTCTTCATATCCTTTACTCATTTTTCTTGAGGTATTGCTGTCTTTTTCTTGTTGATATTTAGAGATTCATTGTGAATTACATAGACATTTATCAATTTAGTTTTTTAAAAAGTACAAATATCTTTTCATGTCATCTATATGTTAACTTTGACTAAGGTGCCCTTCATTATACAGAGATTCTTAATTCAGATGTCACCAAAGTAGTCAGTTTTTACCTGTGGCTTGTACTTTTTAAGTTTTACTTAAGTTTTCCTTCGCTACCCCATGTCATGGAGATTTTCCCTTACATTATCATCTGTTAGATTAAAGACCTGAATGCAAAATTAGAAAACTATCTGGACCCTACCTTTATATATAGTTCTAGGAGGGATCTAGTTTTATTTTTTATTCTTATAGTGAGTCAGTTTTTCTAGGACCAGCTATTGGACAGTCCTTCTTTTCTCACTGATTTGTGGAGCCATCTATTCTGTATATTAACTTCCCCTTTAAACATGAATCTCCAAGCTCTCAATTTTATTCTATTGGTTTATCTGTTCTTATCTATATGTATATATAGTGTATATATAATTTTAATATGTATAAATAGAATTTCTAAGAGTGTGTGTATACATATGTATATTCATACACACTTTTTAAAAACTCAGTAACTTTGTGTTATCTCCTAATATCTGTCAGTTAAGGCCAGTCTTTCTCTAAGTGCTCCGCAGGTCAACTAGATATTCGTGAAACTTTTCCATACAAAATTTTAGAGCAGCTTGTTAAGCTCCTCTAAAAAATCTAATTGCAATTCTTATTGGAAACATTGAAAATATATTAACTTTGGGAAAATGTACACCTTTAAATATTTAAAGTCATCCTACCTAAGAGCATAGGATATCTCTCAGTTATTTGGATCATCTCTTCAAAAGAGTCTTAGAAAGTTCTTTCACAAGGTTCTTATTTATTCTTAGTACAGATGATTCCCAATGTATTATAATGTTTGTGGCTATAGTTTAACCATGGGGTTTTGTGTTCTTCCGCTGATAATACACTTTCTCTTAAGTAGTTACATACAGAAACTCCAGCAGAAGTTTAATTCTCATTAACAGAAAGATACACTTAACCCTTTGCTTTACTAGAACATAGCCCTGTTTGACATCATGCAATAAATATATAACTTTGAGAAGTAAAACAGCTTTTAACACAATTGGAGAAGCCATGCTATGTGGGTGGAAGGACTAAACAGGAAAAGAATACCAATGGTAGAAAGTTTCTTTAACCCTGACGAGGATAACATAAGAACGTGTGACTGGAAGAGTAAGCACCAGCCTGTGGTGCTTTTGCCTGGCAGCGACACCTCTCATCCTTCGGGGAGCGTAGCAGAAAACTTGAAACTGATCAGCTTATTTACACTTTCCTGCTCTGAAGTTATAGACCCATTGCTTTAGCCAAACTAGTGAAGCACAGAAAATTATCCAAATTAGACTAATACAAAGTTACAAGTACCTCCCAGTCATCTTGTTGATAAACGTAATTTTTCCCACCAGTTTCCATTCCCTTAATAGTACCAAGAATTTACAATGACAGAAGAGAATTCAGCTCTATAATGGCGGGCACTTAGAAATTGGCATACTCATAAGCAAAGGTGGAAGGACTTGTGGAATTTCTGGTAGGCACAGGGATATAAATGAGGCATGGCTCCTGCCATCAAGGAGTTTACAATCTAGCAGTAGAGACAGGTATTCACCCAGCTCTGAGACAGTGTGGTAAGTGCTATGAAAATAGTGTGCTTAAGGAGCCAGGTAAGATTTCACAGAGGAGCTGAAGTGGGAAGCCAGGAGTGCCAGGTGACAAGTGTGAATAGCATCTTATGAGCAATAGAAGTAACCATGGGTTTCTAAATAAGGCGGTGGCATGTCCAATTTATGTTCTAGGACTGGAATCCAGGAAAGAAAATAAAGATGAGATTGGTGACAAGGAGGCCAGCGAGGAGGAGGCCAACATAAGTAACTTGTTAAGCTAGTTAGGAAAATTAAATTCATGATAGTAATAAAAGAGCAACAAACAAATTTCCTGGTTCCCCCCACCCCACCAAAAATAAAAATGAAAAAAGTTCATGCTCCATTCTCCCTTCCTGGAACATTTGGCTTTAAAAAGGAAAGACAACTCTCTGGATAAATTCTGCAAAGGTTGGTGCTACATCTCTCCATCTGGTACACGTTGTTGAAATCCACGTAGACACACGAGCCAGGTGGGCAGAGTCAGAGCATCAGAGGGCCTCACGGGGCTGCCACAGCTTAGCCGCATCTCATTACTCCCCTCCTGCCACTTAGACAGATGTCTGCTTTTTCAGAGTACTTCCCAGCTTTCAGTTCCAGAAGTTCTTAAGGAAAAATTATTCATCTGTTTTCAGTCCCAAGAACTTTGAAGAGAAACAACTTAATCCAAGCCATAAAACAGCGATGCATTTAGTGACCCTGAAGTCCCAGCTTTCTCAAGAGAAGTTCCTTCCTTAAACATTCATATCCCTTGTCTTTCACATCAGTCTTTCTCTGTTTTCATTCTACTCTGAGATTCAGTTTGTATCAGTTTCCACATGTTCTAACCTAAAAATGGCCTCTACGTGAATCATTTTTGCTAAGTAAGGTAAATATTTCAGAATGTACATTTTAAGAGAAATATAGCCCCAAATGACTATCATTTTGATGATTATGGTGATGATAATCATTGTGATCATTTTAACAGAAACATTGATATAGTAAATATGATATTCCAGCATGTACATTTATATCCTCACTTCATACAGTAACCCACGAGGTAGCTGTAATTCCCTTTTCATAGATGAGATGATTAGAGGCACAGGATATTTAAGTAATTTGTTCAAGAACACACAGCTAGTAAGTGATGGGGTCAGACTTAAACCCTGCCAGCTTGTTCAGGAGTTCACGGTCTTAATCATTATGCTATGCTCTCTCTCTCTCTCTGATATTTTAACTATCCTGTGTCTGAAAATTTAGGCAGCATAAAACATTAGAAAGTTTCAGCTTTAAAAATAAGAGTATCTTTTAACCATCATCTCCCATGAATTGGCATCCAGTTCTCGGCCCGAGCAGTTTCCATGCTTAGTTATGAAATCCACCCTCAGGGAACAGCCGCAGCTCTGGAGCTGCTGGGAGTGATGCAGAAACAGATGTTCCTTTTTCAGCTGTATTTGTGCTCTTAGAAAACAGAAACAGTAAACTCTTCATAAACATTTGTTAACACTCAGGATGATTTGACAAGTTTGTCTTTGATACTAGAATTAGGTAAAATAACTACTCCTATATTAAAGATGCAGGTTGAAGATATGTGTGTAGTTTACGGACTGGCCTCTGTGTTCCAGTGTCCTGAGGCCTATCCTTGTCATCTTGGTGGTTTGCCAGTGATTGGGGGTACACTCTGGAAACAAGGCAGTTCCCAGAGCTCAGTCCTCTAGACAATATTACGGAGTATGTTCATTTCCGATTTTTGTGTTGTGTGGACGACCAAACCAAAGGTGAAAGAGGGAAAGTGTGTGCAATAAGAATGACTCCTGTTCTCTTCAAACACAAACACTAATCAAAAGCCACGGGGAGAAAGATGCTAATGTTCCAGTTGCAGGTGGCTGACAACAGTGCTGTTCATGTAAAGTCGCTACCATTAGGAAAGCAGTAACCACTTGTTGCTGCCTCACTTTCGTAGATCCACTTGATCCTTCACATTTTTATGTACAGATTCTTATTTCTGTTGTTTTCTCATTTGAACAGAGCATCTTGGTCCACCATCAGGAACAAACTCAGCCAGGCAAAGCCCAGCTCTGCAGCACAGGCCCATGGGACAGTCACAGGCCAACCACATACCTGGGGACAGGTGGGACTGCTCTTTTCAGGTTTTGATTTCTTTCTCTCCTGGTCTCCCCCACTTTTCATCGCCCGCCCCACCTGTCTCTACACAGTTGTGCGGAAGCCAGCTGGGAAGGTCGAAGTGAGACCTCCACTCCCTCCATCCCTCCTTCCCTCTTCCCAGCCCCTACCCCAGGCGCAGCGGGACCACCAGTCACACTGACAAGAGGGGATTAGGTAGAAGTGACAGCTGCACCTGCTGTGCTCCTCTTGGTCCTCATAGTTTGGGGAGGAAAGTCCCCGACGGACCCCCATGGACTGCTGTCTTCCCAGACTACCTGAGCAGAGCAGTATTTCCACATGTTTCTTTCCTCTTTTGTTGAAAATATTAGCCGTGAAACAAAAACCAAATTTCCAGAAATTCAGCATCTTAACGGCCGTTGGTGCCACAGGAGAGCCATTCTTCATTCTGACAAGGTCAGCTTATCTGCCCTCTGGTTCAGTGACTTGAGTGCAGTTTTCCTTGATGTAAACTGCAGCGAGACGCCCTTAAAACAAAAACAAGACGAACAGAAAACATGGGGGTGTTGACAGACTTTAAGCAAAGCTGGAGTTAATGGCCGGGGTTTTGCCTGGCATCTCTCTGCTTCTAGATACAATCTGTCTTTATAGCAGTTTGTCAGCCCGAGACGGGCAAGGTTGAGCATTTAAAAGAAAAGAAATTGATCTGCCTTTACTTGTAGACTCTTTTCCATTTTCTCAGTTCAGAGGGTGACTTGATTTCTCTCTCCTGTAGAAATGCCACAGAGGGTGAAGCTGGAAAAGAAGTCTCCATTTCATACAGACACTCGTGGTCTGACCATAAGCACCTCGCGCAGCCTGATACGGCGACGATCTCGGTCATAGGCACTCGGCACAGTCAGGTGAACAGAGACCACCCCCCCGGGCGTGGGCACTGAGGAATCTGTATTGCAGATCAGTTTAGATGTGTTTGTTCCCAAAATTCATCATTCCTAAGAACCTATTCTGTGTTTGGCATTCTGTTAGGGTCCATGAGAGAATGTATAGAGTGAAAGAAAAGTTTGCCCTCTATTGGAGAAATGTGAACCTTTAGTTAAGTACATAGAAATAGCAGTGGTTTAGTAGGATCAAAGTAGGATTTGGGGTTTTGTTTTGGTTTTTGCTTTTTCCTTTTTTCAGGAAAATTAGTCAGAGACTACTTAAGGGAAGCACTTTCCAAAATTCTGTTCTGATTGTTTGGTGGCACATTGACCAATGAGTAAAGAAGACGTGTAATCTTCAAACTAATTGAGGCTGCTTTGATTAATTGTATTCATTCAACCAAATTCAGCCAAAACTTACATTCCTTCCTCATGATACAGAAATGCATACTGAGCATACAAATCATTTCTTCCAGCTATCAAAGTAGTCTTTGTTCAAACTTTTCGAATAAGGCAGTCCGTGAGAGCTTGTTTTCCTCATCTTTCTCCCCACTCCAGAGCCTGGGCTGTTACCCGGTGGAGCTGGAGCGGGGCCCGCGGGGCTTCGGCTTCAGCCTGCGGGGCGGGAAGGAGTACAACATGGCCCTCTTCATCCTGCGTCTGGCCGAGGACGGGCCTGCCATCAAAGACGGCAGGATTCACGTGAGTTGGCTGCACCTTTCGGTTCTGGCTCCAGAATGGAAACTTCTGGGAATAGGTGATTAAAGGGAGTGCGGAAACCTGCTGAAGCTGTGAAGCAGGACTTTCCGCCGCTGAGACCTGAGAGGCAGAGGCTTGTCCTGGTCTCACTTCCTCCTCCCGGGCTGCTGCGTGCGTGGCCGTCGTGCTGCCTTCGCGGTCTCGACTGTGGTCAGAAAAATCATTTTTATGTGCATAATCCACATTTAAGGGTAAACAGATTAATAAGTACAATACACCTTCATCTTATTAGAAGTCTTGGAAAAACCAGGGTGAAACAGAATCTTCCAGCTTCTTCCAAGAAACAAGAGGCCTGGGAATTTTTTTCCTCTTAGCTATTCCTCGAGATAGCCAACGATGGAAGAACATGACCCTCCCGAGTTGCAGGACTAGCATTCGCATCAGTAATGTCCCAGCATAAGTGTTCTCAACCCTGAAACTGCACAGGGCGTTGCAGGCCGGATTGTTTACGGACCTGCATGAGGTATTTTCCTCCTTCTCTGGGTAGAAGATTTATTTGCTGGCTTCAATTTTTAAAAATAGTTAAATCACTGGTATTCAGTTAGTTTGTACACTAAAAATTTTCAAATCTGGACGACCTCCCCTACTTACTCAGGAAGACTTTCTGTTTCCTCCCTCTGCCACCAACAGGGATCAGGGAAAGAGAAGTTTTTCTTTTTCTTCTCTGTTTTGTTTTCTTTTTTCCCTTTTCCTTTTAACTAAGTAAACTAATTAGAAAGGCAAATGGCCCTGGCAAATTACTAGATGGTATATTCTAATGATAATTAGAAAAATCTGAGTGACTGTAGTTTTGACTTTTCCCCATCACTGCTCCACTCCCATCTCTCATTTCATAAAGATATATTGAGTGTTTGTTCACTTTACCCAAGGATTTATACATGGCACTGAATGAGCTGGGAGAAAGAATGACACCAAAACAAGATACCATCCTTTCTCTAAATGACTAGACTTGTGTACAAGCTCCAAGAAGCTGCATGTGAATGGAGAAGACTTCATAGAATAGGTGGCATTGGACGGTGGATAGGCTTTCCACAGGGGGAGATTAAGGAAAGAAAACATTCCAGGCTGAAGAAATAAGCAAAGGGTAAAACTGAGGAAGTATAGGTCATATATAGGGAACTGCAAGTGGTCAAGTTTACCTAGAGGCTATTAGAAAGTACAGAGGGGAGGAGAAAAGGATGAGAATATAAATGTAGGATGGGTCACCAAATGTAGGTCCAAGACAGTGGGAAGTCACAGAAGACTTTTGAGCCAAGAGTTCCCCTCGGAGCAATACACTGATAAAATGAGTCTCCTGGCGTGTAGGGTGAATGAGGGAACAGGGCTGGCTATAGTTTTAAGCGTCCAGTCCTAGTGGTGGGAGTAGAACTTGAATGGTAATGCTCTGGGAGAAGATAAGTGATATGTATCGGATCAGCTGTTAATGAGGAAAAGACCAGCTTAGAGTACTTGTTAAATGAGTGAAGGATGAAGGAAAGGAACAAAGGGTGGCTTAGAGGCTTCACCCTGCCTGTACTATGAAAAAAACGTTGGGGAGGCCAGGAGGAGAAAGGATTGGGCAAAGACTGATAATGTACTTTTAGTCATGTTGATGGACCAGCTGGTTGGAGCAGGTGTAAATACTGAGCGGGCCATTAGAGGTAAAGTCCCAGATGATGGCATTACTCAGGCAGAGGCAATGGCTGAAGCTTTTGCTGTGGATGAGATCACTAAAGGAGAAGATTTAGAGATGTGGGCAGGGGCCAGACTCTGGAGAAGGCCTGTAATGAGTGGATCAGGGACAGGAGGGAAAATGGGGAGGGTGAGAATATGGAGCAGCAGACCTGAACTGGGGAGCCTTGACGGCAGGGAGAAGGGCTGATGGCCAGAGTCTGGGAGCAGGGCTGCAGCTGATCGAGATCTGCTGGCTTTGCCTCCCTCCGTTCACTTTCCGGTAGAGACGGATTAATAAGGCAGGAAGAACGTGGGTGTGGAAATCTGAGGGGAGAGGGATCCAGCTCTGGTTCTGCCACCTTGCAGCTGTGTACAGCTGGGTGACTTCTCCAGACCTCAGCTTCCTCACCTGCAAAACATAAAACCTTATGTAAAATACACGGCCCAAGTAAACTTCTCAAAGTTCTACTAAGAGCAGTTTGAGGCACTGTTTACAGGATGTCATACTTATTTCTGGTTTTCTTGGTCCTTTTTCTCCTCCACTCCCCACCATTTTTTTTTGAAGCTGTTTAAGTAGTTTAAATATGGAAGTTTTTTTAAATCTATTGTATTTTGTATCAAAAAATCCAATTAAACCAAAAACTAGGATATAATTGAAATGTTCTTTTTAAATATAACCTCCAGATGCACTAATCTCACCAAAGGCAAAGAAAGAGGCCTCAAGGGATTCAAAGTCTGTTTCTAAAACATGTTATTCTTTATAAATGAATTCTGAGATTAAATCAGTTTTAATTTGGGGGGAAAAAACTCGCTGAAATTTAAAAAAAAATTAGCTATTACTGCTATTCCCAGGTTTGTTTTAAACTCTTAAGAAAACAAATCAGCTTTTCAGAGAGAATTATTTTTCTGGCTACTCAGTTATCAAAATCTTGACCTGGTGTAAGGATCATGGGAGCTTTGTCATTAATGACAGACAACTCACTGCGGCAGGCGCTGCCCAAAAAGATGAGTGCTTAACTCCAGCTCAGACCTGCACCTGGAGCCACCTGAGCATCCTCTCTGCCTTCCCCTCCTGCCTCTCTCTTCTCCCTTGTTTTTTCTGTTAGGCTGACAACCTGACTTTGTACCGATTAGTCCAGTATCTTCAGCACCTGAGACAGTGCCTTGACTACTAATAGTAGCTGCTCCGTAGAGATTTGTTGAAAGAACAGAAGGCATGGTTAATATTTCTACATAATGAGAGAATGGATTTTTTTTTAATATTTAAGGTTAACTCCCAGAACTTATTACTGGGTAGACAGGACTTGGGCTGTGTGAAGGAATTAGCAAACAGCGTAACAGTGTAATTCACTAAAACATGAAAATACTAACTTTTACTACAGATGGGAAGATGTTGAAAGGATCTGTAAACTTAATGAGTCTTCAGCTGGCCCTTAAAGTCTATTAAGATTTAGAGAGGAGAAGAAAAGGTTCTGGGCTAAAGGAATGAGAAGTCCACTGAATTGAAAAAGTTATTACAGAAATAGTGTCAGACTTAAATATTTAACATAGAACAAAACCAGATTTAAAGAATAATTCGAGTCTGCTGTCTTCCAGACAACGTGTTTTCACTTGTGTTACTTTTAGTTTCACAAAAACGCTGTGAGACAGGTGGCGCTACCCCCACTTACAGATTTGAAACTACAGCTCCAGGAGACTAAGTCCCAGTCACAGGGGGACCCAGGCTTGTTGTCCCTCAGCCAGTTTGTGTGCTTTCCGCGTCAGCCATAGCCTGTGTCGCTGAGACGCAATTCCTCTGGGAGGCATTATAGGTTCTTAAGTGGGTTATAAGACAATGTAAGCAATGTGCTGGAAATACTGTTTTGTAATATTAATACTTTTTTAGTGGCTGTTTTAAAAACTTGCAAGATTGCCTTTAAAAAGTGACTTTATTTGGGTTTTTTTTATCGAAGTATAGTCAGTTTACAATGTTGTGTCAATTTCTTGTGTACAGCATAATGTTTTAGTCATAGATATACACACATATATTCCTTTTCATATCCTTTTTCATTATAGGTTACTGCAAGATAGTGAATATAGTTCCCTGTGCTATATAGTAGAAACTTGTTTATCTGTTTTATATATAGTAGTTAGTATCTGCAAATCTCGAATTCCCAGTTTATCCCTTCCCACCCGGTAACCATAAGTTTGTTTTCTATGTCTGTGAGTCTGTTTCTGTTTTATAAGTAAGTTCATTTGTGTCATTTTCTTTAGATTCCACATGTAAGTGATAACATGGTATTTTTCTTTTTCTTTCTGACTTAACTTCACTTAGAATGATCTCTAGGTCCATCCATGTTACTGCAGATGGCATTTTTAAATTCTTTTTTATGGCTGAGTTTAAGTGCTCCATTGCATATATATACCACATTTTCTTTATCCAGAAAAGTGACCTTTTTAAAGAACATAGTTTTTCTCTGTCCCTTCTTTCTACTTCTTTGGTTCTCCTAGTCTCATTTTTTCCCCTCCCTTTCATTTATTTTTTCTGTCCCCCATATTCTATTTTTCAATTCTACAAAAAATGTGACCTTGAATATTTTGTTTTGGTTTTTTTTTCTTTTTTCTGACTTTGAATTTTTATTCTTATCAAAAGATAT